TTTTCCGATTGTGTACTTTCAAATTCTAGCGCACTCGAGCTGGTTTCTCCAAAATGACCTACCCCACCTTTGATAGGGATGAGAATACAATAGAGTGTTACCTACAACTGCCAACAATGCTTCAAAGAGCATCTAGGTGGTACGGGATGTGTCCCTGGATAAATGACAATGGCTGTGGTAATCTCAAACGTGTATGGGAAAATGACCTGTCACTTACAATTGACGAAAAAACAAGAGAGGAAATGATATCTAATTCTGAAAAATACATAAGGGAAGCTAGAGGCAAATTCAGTATAAAATAATTCAAAGATATTATTATACTCCGTCAAGACTACACAGAATGGGCCTGATTAAGGAGGATTTATGTTGGAGATGTGCGAAGAACGTGGCACGTATATGCATGCATTTTGGGAATGTTCGAAGGTTTGTCCCTTGTGGAGGAGTGTTCTGGACTCTATGGGAAAATGGTTGAAATGTCTCCTTGGAGACGGTGACCCCGCATCTGAATAAATGTGCATTTAGAATGTTAAGGGCTGGCTTAATAACGTGTGCGCGGATAATTTTAAGATGTTGGAAGGATCCCCAAACTCCTACACTGAATATGTGGAGGGTTCAAATGATGGAGACTGCTGCATGTGAAAAGATGCTGGGAAGGTTGCATGTTCAAAGTGGCGTGGGTAATGAACAATGGGATAGTTTCAGTAGATACATGTCTGGGGAAGGTGGAACCGTTTGAAGACACTAAGAAGTGGATGTGGGACACTCACAATATCATGCACTAATGTGCGCTGCTATGATTGGATGTTTTACTTTGATGTATGGATACTTGTCAATGCCTGTTTTTACCTGCCTGTTTTTATTATTTCTTTGGTACTGTTTTTTCTCTGAGTCCTGTATATGATGTTGGATGTTTGTGCTTAAAATCCAATAAAATGTTGAATTACAAAAAAAAAGAAGTGCATGATAGGAGACCTTTAAAAAAAGAACCCGTTTTTAAACCCCAGATGTTTTCTTCTGAGTAAATGTGAAGTGGTTTCATTGTTACTATAATATTATAATGTCAGCATTATATTGTGTACCTGCAAAGATCCTGTTGATGACTAAAGGTCTGTCTCCATGGATGGAGCCCCTGCCCCCCTCCAGAGTGAAGCCCACTCCTGCAGCTCCTTTCTGCAGCTCCACAGTCAGCGGAGCGGAGTGGAGGACCACTGCAACACACACACCACACACACCCCATCAACAACAAGGACAGATGTAGCCTGCATACCTTCATTCCACAGCTGAAAACATCAAAGTTAAACGGAGAGTTTGGATGTTTGGGTCTAGAGTTGTATGAGTAAAATAAATAGTAGCCTGGCTAAATTGGCACATTCAATGCATATTCAAGTGATATAAAGCCCTATATAAAAGAGTAATCCTTTTAGTGTACTCTTGTGTATGCCCTCTTCAAATACACCAACATACATTAACAAAAACGATTATTTAGCTTTGCAGTAGTTCAGATTTACCGAATAAACCAGCTGATCAGGGTGGCAGACCTCTCCCCTGATCTGTGATGTCAAATCTCTCATCATCCCAATGGAGGCTGTTGTCTTTGGTCAGAAAGGCTTTTTGATAGTGAAAATATATCTCAAAATAGAGATTTCACCTAAACAGATTTTGTAAGGGTTCTAAAATACCGTATGTTTGTCCAAAGCAGGTCAAATTCCTAGTATGTGCAAACCTACCTGCCAATAAACCTGTTTCTGATTTCTGATTCTGATTTCTGATTCTGACATTGTTTTGACCTCCATTGTGTAAATGGGGATTATATAATAAAAGTAATAATAATAAGGCTGTATTTGTATAGCGCTTTGGATGCAGCTCAAAGTGCTTTAACAATAGTACACACAACACAATTAAACCGAAACCAGAAATTCAATTCAGGTCAAACTTGAAAACATTTGAACATACATGCAGCAAATGAACATGATATGTGATATCATGGAGTACAAGGAGTTCAAATAGGCTAGAGAATAAAGGCTAACCTAGAAAGATTATTGTTTTCAACTATCGTTGAAAAATGTCCACTGAGTTTGCTTCCCTGAAATATCTTGGTTGGATGCGTAGTGGAAAAAGCTGCTTCACCCATTTGATTTGAGGAGATAGGTGTATATAAAAAGCCTGCTGCTTGGGACATAAAAGGACAGAGAATCAGGGAGAGGAGACGGACCAGACCATTAGCACAGTAAACCAGTAAAAGGATTTTGAAATATACAGGGAACCAATGCAGTGTAGCTAAAACAGAAGTAATGTGCTCTCTTTTTTTGATGTAGCAATTTACTTGTCTTCTGCACTCTATAAAAGCTCGGCTAGCTCTCTGTATAAGCGCCCTTTAATAAGAGGTGTAATTGATCTCATAGGCCACTACCTTGGAGAGGCTCACTCTCTGGGAGCTGTAGGACTCACCTGCAGGGTGGAGGTCTTCCGTCCTGCAGCCGTCCCCCTCGGCCCCCCCCTCCTCCGCCCTCTTGCAGACCACCACCACAGCCAGCGGCAGATTGCGGGCCTGCCGCAGAGCACTGGTGGCATCAGTGTGTGTGACACCGCGCAGTGTGTGTCCGTTTATGGACAGCACCTCGTCTCCTCTCTGGATGGTTCCCTCCTGAGCCGCCAAGCCACTGGGGAACACTTTGTGGACCTGGACAGAACACACTCAATCTCACACACACTAGCTGATCCCAGAGTGTGTGCACGGTCTGTACAGTGGCAGACAGTTCAACCAAATCCCTTGATGCACATCTCAGAATTAAGTCTTGTGACAGAACAAATATTTCCACTGACCTGCAGGAACCTTGACCTTGCTCAATTTAACGCATGGCTTCCTCTGTGTATGTATCTGAGGTAAATATGTAATATAGTATCTTGAATACAAACTAACTCTTTGGTGGACACATAAAACACACAAGGCAGTGAATTTCAGTCCAATCATAATGTTTCTTTATATAATATGCAAGTCAAATTCTACTACATATCTACATGAACAGTTATACAATACATTCTATAATTATAAAGAACGTTTCTATAGTCCCTCTCATTATACTCAGATTCTGTTTATGCACATTTTGTTGGGATTGGTGTGATAGTAAAATGTTGTATTATTTTTGATAAAAAGTTAGGAGCACCTCTGTATATATACATCTATCTGAGCTGAGAAACTTTTTTGTGAGGACCCAAAGCTCCTTAAATGTGCATTTTACCAAGAGTACAAGCAATATGGCACCACTATTAAAAACATTGGGAATAAGAAGGCACTCAAAACCCACTTAGTATTTGATGTTGGATTGTGATGCCATCTACTGGCCATTACAGGAAACACTATCATATGAAGTAGAGTCAGGAATGATGCTCTCCTCGACTCTCAGCCAGCTATTCACAGGCAGTCTGACCTGTGTGTGTGTGTGTGTGTGTGTGTGTGTGTGTGTGTGTGTGTGTGTGTGTGTGTGTGTGTGTGTGTGTGTGTGTGTGTGTGTGTGTGTGTGTGTGTGTGTGTGTGTGTGTGTGTGTAGTGCTGCTTACTGTCAGAGCCTTGCTCTCCAGGTCGGACCCCCCTGCGATGCTGAAGCCCAGCCCGGCCCCCTCCTCTTTATGCAGAATCACCACATGGATGTCCACCAGTTGCTGTGGAGACAGACAGTTCATTTGTTCTCTTTATTATTGCTCACAATAAACATCATCACTGTTTGCATCAACATGACCACAGTGACCTGCTGTGAGTGTATTTATGTAATGGGTTTATAATCAGATTGGATTAGAAGGTAATTCATATTTATTATTATATTATCAGTTTTATAAGCTGTCTTTAAAATATGGTGCAACTGGAAAGGTCTGAGATGTGTTCATTGTTTTACCTTCAGCGTGTCTTGGTCCAGAGCTTTGACTTCCTTGATCATCCTCTGTATTTCCTGTGAGGGGATGGCTGAGATGACAGAGTGAGCAGAGGAGCCTTCTGCCTCGTCATGGTGTCCCCCCTCCCCTCGCTCAATGGTACACTCCCTAAGTATGGCCAAGCTGTGTTTAAAATGAAGACACACACACTGTTACACACTTCTGAGCACTGCACGCCTGCACGTACCTCATACTGTACATTCCACCCCTGGCAGCTCTGTGAGTTCTGTTAATTACAACCTGCTTCTCTGGTGAAACAGGAAGTTGTTGTTTTTTTCAACAAAATGAACCACTTCCTTATGAATATAAAACAGGCACAGTATGCATTCTGGGGCGAGTCTCTGTTTGACTAATACAGTCTATGGTAATAATAAACTGCGAGTGTGTGTGTGAGTGTGTGTGTGAGTGTGTGTGTGTGTGTGTGTGTGTGTGTGTGTGTGTGTGGGGGGGGGTGTGTGTT